AGGAAGGCTGACGGCTGGGTTCAGCGAGCAGCGAAGCACAAACCGGCTTCTCTACCTGGGGACTGGCTATGTCTGGGTCTATGCAGCTCTTCATTTAACTCAGAAGTGACTCCGGTTTGGACCAACCCTAACTCATGGATCACGTTCTGTTGGGCTTCATTATGGAGAGCGGTTACATTACATTCCACAGGCACAGAGGTTAGGGTTCCAGCACGTATTTGTGGGAATACACTTCAGTGCATAATAAATGAAGGCAGGCCAGGGCAGTGGGGAACCCCAGAAGACCCCAGCCCTCCAATTTCTGAGTGTCCCCCTTTGTTGCACGTGTCCCTCAAAGTTCTCCCGTGATGGCTGAAGCTAGCCCCTTCAGTATCCTCTGCCCTGTGCCCACTTACAGGGCATGGTGGGCATCAGGTGTTCAGGGTGAGGGTCCCTCAGGGTCAGAGGCTGAAAACTCCCCAGAAGGCTTCCCAAGCAGCCATTGGAGCACACGGCCTTTGTTCTCACACTACATGGGGTGGACTTACTCTGGCTCTGAGCCCGAGCTGTCATGCTTGGCAATCCCCAGAGCTAGCTCTTGGCTGAATTTCTGGAAAGTTGTGCATGTGATCACCTCTTCAGCTTAGGAAGCACCCAGATGGGACACTCGCACAAGTCCTGGCTCCTACAGAGTCCTGGGTGGTCAGCAGACACCCTGTGGGAAGGGGCTCAGGGGTACTCCAGGTCTCCCACAGACAAGCTTCAGTTAGGAGCCCATTGGTCCAGTCCACAGGGCCAGGCTGCCCCCACCCGAGGCCAGGGATTCCACAACCCGAGTCCTTCCCAGAGTGGGAAGGGCTTCTGAGAGCCTGTGGCCAGTTCCTGTCCCTCCCCTCCTGCCCAACAGGCAGGACAACCCCTAGAACAGCAAGGGCCTCCCAGGTTTTCTCCTGGGTCGAATTTGGAAACTGTTATCTGTGTTTGAGCTGCCAGTGTGGCCTGTCAGCACTGGGCTGGGTCAGTCACCCTTCCCAAGAGCCCTCATCCTGCCTGGGCACTGCCCCAGGACCACAGAAGGGCAGCAGGAGAGGTTTCCAGATGGAAAAGTTGCCCTGGAGGGAGTGAGCTCCCCCAAGCCCAAGGTGGCACCAGGAGACACAGCTGCTCCGGACTGGGCTGTCCAGGGCAGAATGAAGAAGCCACCCTTCGAAGCTGTAATGGAAACTCAGCGACTTGTGAGCTCACTGGGCTCAGGTTCTGGGCTGTGAGGCGGGCCTGGCTCTGACGGCTGTGATTGTGGGGCCTTGGACGTTCAAGTGGCAAGTTCACACTGGAGGTGCTGCAGACAGGCGCCCAGGTGGGTTGACGTGTGTGTGTGTGTGTGTGTGTGTGTATGTATGTGTGTGTGTGAGCATGTCTGTGAGCACATGTTCGTGTGTGAGTTTGGGTGTAAGTGTGTATATGAGAATGTGTATGTGTGAGTGTACGTGTGTGTATTGTATGAGTAGGGGGGGTGTGTGGGGGTGAGTATATGTGTGTATGCCTGGGTGTGTATGTACATGTTTGTGTATGTGTGTATGAGTGTATGCATGACTGTAGGAGTGTGTGTGAGTGAGTGTAAGATTGTGTGTGTACCAGTAACTATGGGTGAGCGTGTATGACTCTGTGTGTGAGTGTGTGTATGTATTTGTGTGTGTGAAAGTGTGTGTAAGCGTGTATGGCTGTGTGTGTGTATTACCGTGCAGTGTGAGTGTGTATATGTATTAGTGAGTGTGTGTGTGAACGTGTGTAAGCATGTATGGCTGCATGTGTAAGTGTGTATTACTGTGTTATGTGAGTATGTGTATGCATTAGTGAGTGTGTGGTGTGTTAGTGAAAGTGTGTGTGTAAGTGTGAATGGCTGTGTGTGAGAGTGTGTATATGTATTAGTGAGTATGTGTGAGCATGTGTAAGTATGTAGGACTGTGTGTGGGAGTGTGTTTGTACGAGTAACCATATGGGTGAGCATGTATAACTCCATGTGTGAGTCTGTGTCTGCTGGGGGCACTCCTGGCAGCTCAGGGCTCGGCACCCCTTCTTGGGCAGGTAGGTAGAGGCGCACACAGTACTTAGCTTCACCTGCCACACTCCTGTCTGTCTGTTGAGAGGAATCCCCTTCAGACTGCAGGAAACCCCCATTCCCCATTGTCACTCCTCACTGGGGGGGGGTCCCCTGAAGCCTACCCAAGGGGCCCCCAGTGAGGACAGTGATAGCTGTGGTCCCATGGGGGTGGGGGCAGGTAGTGTGCAGAAGCCACGGGAAAACATGCCGCTGGAGGGAGGTGTTGAGGGCAGAGGGTGCTGGCACCCAGGTCTGTTCCCACCCCACAGCTATTTCCATCTGTTATCATCACCTCTGTCCTGAGCCTTCTGAGAGCCTGTCCTCTTACAGTCTCTCCATGTCACGGCCCCTCAGCCGCCGCCCACAAACAACAGACTGCAGAGCCCTCCCTGCTCCTGTGTCCCTGTGGGGAAACTGAGGCCCATGACCCAGGACTTGACCCCGAGCTCAGGGACCCCAAAGGCCACTTCCTCCACCCGTGTACCAGGAGACAGGAAGGTTCCTCCACAGTGTGCCGCCCGGGGTCCAATCAGCACCAGCTGTGTATCCTACATGTGTCCCAGGAAAACGGCTCCGTGGGGTTTTCAGTGACTGAGTTTTGGGAAGCAGATCACCAGGCCTTTCTTCTGAGGTGCTTCTGGGTAGACCTGAATCACCCACCTTTGTTATTGGCCAAGTGTGTCCCTCATTTCCTGAACAAAAGCAGCCCCTCCCTCCCTCCCTGCCCCTCCTCCACCTGAGCCCACTGGCTTCTTCTATGACCCTATTTGCAATAAAAAACCTGATGCTGAGATAGGAGAAAATTGCTCCCTTATGAAATAATTGAGCTATCCAGACTGTGTACGCACAGACATCGTTAACACGGTGCTGTCGCTCTGAGATATTTATTCCTGTGGAGGGGGTTGGAGACCGTCACCCTGTTATCTCTAGGGGGGATACTGCAGGTGGCCACTGGGGTCACCTGACCCAGGGCAGCCCACATGCCAGTCCCCACTGCCACTGGTGTGATCCTCAGGGTCGGGTCCCTGGTATCTCATTATCGTGGGCTGCCCCACAGAAACCCCACAAGTGGGCGACTTTGAAAAGCAAAGTCCAGTGTCTGGTAGCTGAGGAGGGTAGAGTTCTAAAGTGGCCCCTTACTCAGCTTGACCTCATTAACACACCTGAAGAAGCTCCTACTTCTAAACAGGGTCCAACCCACAGGTATGGGGGGCAGGACATGATGGTTGTTTCTGTTGTTAAGTGTCCTCTCTGACTCAGTGACCTTGCATAGGGTTTCTGAGGTGGGTTTGAACCGCCGACCCTGTGGTTAGCAATCCAGTGTATGTCCTATAGTGCCACACCAGGACATAATTGGGGGAAGGGGACAAAATTCAATCCCTAACACTTCCGATGGAAGACAAGGGAAGCTCCCCATGCAAACAATGACTCCCACACAGAGAGTGGAATGCCCACCTAGGACCCCAGAGCAGGGGCTCCTGAAAGAGCTTGGAGCTGGGGGCAGAGGGGACAGGACAGAGCCCAAGATAGATGGTGCCTGGTGCCACCACACACAGAACCAACCCTCTCATTATGGGGAAGAACAGGCCAGAGACACCCCTCCCTCACCATGGCCACCCACCACCCCAGGTCTCCATTTCTCTACATGCAAGCCAGGGACTGAGCCCATCACCCCTCAGGGCCCTGAAGGAGCAGTAGTTCCATCTGCTTGCTTGCTGTGGGTCTGAGGCGCTCCACGGAGCAGGGTGGGGGAGGCCTCCAAAGGGGAACCTGGGGGGCTGTGAAAACAGTCTCAGGAGGAGCTGTGATGAGGGGTCAGAGGTGCGGACCTGAAAACTCCCAACCAAGATAACAAATGAGAGCTCTGGGGAGAGGGGACAGAGACAAGCAGAGGGGGAGGGAGACAGAGAGGATAAGAGTGGTGGGGGGAGAAAGGAAGAGACAGAAAGAAGGGAGTGGGGAGACAGAAGTAGACAGGAAATAGACAGGAAGAGAGTGATAGAGGGAGGAAAAACAGAGACACAGGAATGGGAGAGAAATAGACAGGAAATGAGGGGGTAGAGGAAGAAGAGATAGAGACACAGGGGAGGAGAGAAATAGGAAATAGGAAGAAAAGAGGTAGAGGGGGAGAGAAATAGGAAAAGAGGGGTTAAAGGAAGGAGAGACAGAGACACGGGAAGGGGAGAGAAATAGACAGGAAATAGGAAGAGAGGTGGTAGAGGGAAGAGAGACAGAGACTCGGGAATTGGGGGAGAGAAATGAACAGGAAGCGGGAGGGAGAGGAGACAGAAAGAGGGGGTAGAGGGAGGAGAGACCCAGGCAAATACATAAGGGATGTTGGGGTTGGGAAGAGAAGGGAGAGACAGAAAGACGCTTGACTCCTACGTACTGAGGGGTGGGCTTGGAGTCCATCTCCCACCACCACCCATTCACCAGCTCCAGAAGCAAGAAGGGTGCCAATCTCAGGGGAAGCCTCTCCCATCACCCAGCCCTGTGTGACTCATGACAATACACAACCCCTGACCCAGCATTCGTCGCCAGGAGCAGCTCCTGCTAAAAGGAAAGGAAGCAAAAACAGAGCTGTTTATTGCAGCCATACCCATGACCTCAACAAATTGCCAATGACAATAATAAAACGCAAACATCCTGAACATCCAATCATAGGGGGTGCTGTGTAAACCACAGAGTGTCAGCCGACGGAATATTACGTGGCCATTACTGCAGATAATTATGAAGGCTGTGGCAGGGGAGGAAATTGCTCATAATGGGTCAGCGGAATGCAGGGTTTATCTGAGCTTGCATCACAGTGAAGGAAAAATAGCATCCACAGAGAATTCTCCCCTGCTTTTGTTTTTATTCGACAAGTGTTAGCTATGTGATAAATAATGTTCTTGCTTATCTTAGGACCATGTTCAAGTAAATGAGGACCACAGCGCTCGCCTTGAGCCCCTGCTCCCAGTCAGAGACATGCCGTAGGCCCAGGAAGGATGGGGAGACCGCCTCAGACTCCTCAAGGTCCAGAGCTGAGTGGGTAAGGCCTTCAGAAGGGGCCGCCATGACAGAATTCACACAATGGAGTGTATTGGCTTACAGCCCCAGAGGCAGAGAGGCCAAATCAAGGCCGGGGTCGTGTCTCCTCACTGCGGGCATGCCCTGTCCCCATTTGTGTGTGCATCTTTGCGTCTCCTCTGCTCTTTTGACAAGATACCACTCAAAAGGGATTGAGCCCTGGTATGCTGCTAACCACAAGGTCGACAGTTCAAACCCACCAGCAACGCTCAGAAACCCTATACAGGGTTGCTCTGAGTCAGAACTGACTGCACAGGACTTAACAACAACCCTAAAGCGTTTAGGTTCAAGACCCTCCCTACTCAGATCCGGCCTAGTCAACACAACAAAGCGAGACTCTTCATTCTAAATGGGGTCATATTTGCAGGCACAGGAGGTACGATGGCCACATTTTTGGAATTCAATCCATAACACTCCACCCTTTGCTTCCAATAATTCATGTTTTCCTACCCTATCACATCAGTCCAAAGATCTAGCCCATCCCAGTGACCCCCTCAAAGCCCCAAACCTCACCTTGGGCATTGTCTGAGCCAGGTGCAGGCAGGCAGTGGGGCTGAGGTAGGTCTACAAGGGGAGCCCATAATGAGAAGGCTGGCTGAGTATCTGTCCTGACTTCTGCCCCACAGCACCCCTGGACAGAAAATTCAGGGGAGATGTTATGGGACTGGCATGTCAAAGTCACCAACAGTGACCCTCAAGGACAGGAAAGTATTGCACTGAGGCTCTGGAGATGGAGAGGGGAGATCAGGTGCCAGCTCTGAGAGCCAGGCTGCTCCTGCCTGTACAGCTTTGGTGGTCACTGGCGTCCCTTTAACTGCTTGTAGATACATCTGTCTCTGACATGCGTCTGCCCCGGGAGTGGAACACCACTCAGAAGGGATAGAGATTAGGACTCGCCTCCTGTGGCCTCTAACCAGTTTGTCCAGTTGAATCTGACTTATGGCGGCCATGTGTTTCAGAGCAGAACTGAGCTCTCAGAGTTTCCATGGCAGTGACCGTTCAGAAGCAAGCTGCCAGTCCTTTTGAGAAGACACTGGGTCCAGGTTAGCAGCTGAGCACATTCACTATTTGCATAACCCAAGTGCTCTGGATAACAAAAGAAAACCAGTTTCCAAACAGGCCACCTTCACAGGTGCAGGGCTGTGACTTTACAGTATCCTATGGGGGCAGAATTCAATCCCAGTGGTGGTAGGGTAGGCAGAGGAGCTCACGTGTCTGCTTCCCACTCCACCCCAGGAAGGCCGCAGAGCGTGCCCACCCTCCATCCTGAGACACAGCCGGAGTGAGCGTCGCAGCCGTGGGGAGGAACCTCAGAGGAGCAGGAGGCACGTGAGGTTCCGAGAGCCGCTGGAGGCCGCAGTCCACTGTAAGGAGCGGTGGGCATCGTCACTAGGGGACGGGGAGATGGGAGTGGGACTATACATGAGGGCAGGACGCCATGCCCAAAGACCTCCCACAAGACCACAGGCAGTGCCCATATGGCTCTGGTAGTTGCGGAGGTGAGGGGCTACCTTCTTAGAGCCTTTGGCCACCTTTATATCTTCCAAAAAAACAGATGGTGTGCAATTGATAGTGACCCATGGCCACCCCATGAGCATCTGGGCTCCATAGGATTTTCCCTGGCTGGTCCTCCTGAAGCAGATCGCCAGACCCTTCTTAGGAAGTATCGCTGGGTGGACTCAAACCAGTCATTCAGTTAGTAGCCAGGGCATTAAAACTGGTAAAACCAGGGCCCCAGGGTCTGTCTGGGCAGAGTCCAGTGAAAACTATAGCAAATAGCAGAAAACAATGGGACTACAGACAGTGACCCCACTCCTTGCTCCCATGAGGAGAAGGCAGGGGGTGGGGGCATTAGAACATCCACCCTCTCTTCTCCACAACCCTCCGGATGCTCTTGTGTCCCCCCATTCATATGCACCTCCAAATTCTCCCCTCACCACCTCAGGGCTGCAGCTGCCTACCCATAGCCCTGCCCTCTTCTCACTCCCACCTCTGAGCCCCTTCCTGTGGGCACAGCCCTACATTCATCGGCTTCGTAAGGAACACCCCGAAACTAGGGGAGGGGAGCGGGGCTGGGGTATGTCTGGAGTCTTCCTGGCTATCACCAACAGCTGGACTGGGGGCTCACCTGCTGCTGGGGTCTCTTCCTGGCTCACCTAGTGAGGATGGATCGGAGCCTGCACCTGTAGCAGCCCCTTCTGACCTACTTTTAAAGGCCCCATCTGATGAGGTCAGGCTCACCCAAGTCAATATCTTAATATCTTCAATTCCATCTGAACAATACGTTCTCTTGGCTGGAAGTCACCCTACTCCAGGGAGGGTCAGCACAAACGTGTGGACCTCAGATGGCAGGGGTCACAGGGCTCTCTGATGAAGCCCTGAAGAAAGGGGCTTATTCAGGTCCCACGCTCCTACCTGAAGGTAAGCCCTCCAACAGTATTAGGATAAGACTCCCATTCTGCCTGGAGTGCCCATCTGGGCTCCTCTCCACTTCCGCTTGTCCCAGGGTCCCCAAAACCCTGAAAGCAGAACTGAAGACACGGGGATTATGCTCCAGGGGGTCGGGGTCACCCTGGGACTGGGGTGGGGTAAGGTGGGTCCTGCCCTCCCCTCCCCTGAAGTGCCAGCCCCGTGACATGTTCTGGCAACATCTGAGCCCCTCTGAGTCCTGCCCAACTGCCCACAAGATGCCCTCCAGGACCCAGCCCACCCAGATCCGCAGTGAACTCAGCAAGAGCTCCCCACCCCTGGCCATGCCCACTCCCCAAGCTCCTAAAGCAGAGCTCAAAGACTGGGTGTGGGGAGGGAGGTTACCAAGCCTGGACCACCTGTGCTCCTGTGCCTGCCACACCTGTCTCAGGGGCTCAGGTGAGGCCTGAGGATGGGGGACTGTCAGACTTCACTCCTAGAGCTCTCCCTCCCAGAATCCATCCTGTTCTTATCCCCAGACATCGCCAGCAGGGACAGCCCCACCATCATCAGGGGTAAGTTCTGTGACCCGGTCCCCACTTTACCCAGGGGTCCTGTGGGGTAGTCCCAGGGTCAGCTTCTAGGACAGGGTCATGGGTTCAAGGGTGAGGCAGCTGGTGTCCTTGGACAGCCAGTGTCCTGCCATTCAGCCCTGATCCTATATGTCCGCCCAGCACCCCACCCACCCACACCTCATGGTGGTAGTTCTCTGCTCCTGCGACTTGCGGTGTGCATCCTGCTCGTGATGGCCCTGGGCCTGTGCTATGGCCACACCAAACCCATCTTGTTGGCCCTCGAGGACCTCCGGAACCGTGTCCTGGTCCTCACTCTGCGTCTGCGGCACGTGGCCCTCACTTGCTGGCGTTGTCTCCTAGAACTCTGACAGACAGACAGAAGGATGGCTGGGCAGTTGGGGTTCACCATGGAGGAGAGAACCCATGGAACCTGGTGAACCCTAAGACTCAAGGGGTGACAGAGATGACTGGGGAGGGGCCCCAAAGCTTTGTGATCAGGGTCAACCCCCACCCCTCCTGTTTCCCACTGGGAGAACTGATTGGCTGTGGGGAGCTGCTGGCACCAGATTCAACCAGCTCTGCACCCCGGCTCTATATCTCAGTTGTGTCCTGGCTCAGCATCCCGGCTCTGTACTCCTGATCTGCACCCTGGCTCCACTCCCTGGATCGGCACCCCAGCTCTGTGACCGACCTCCGTGTCCCAGCTCGGCACCCCAGCTCTGTGCCCTGTTTCCACCCTGGCTCAGCACTGTGACTCCACATCCTAGCTTAGCATCTGTCTGCAGCCAAGGGGGACACATGGTGGCACATTCTCCACCAGGACGAGCCACCTGGGTGAGCACTGTGCCCAGGGCTGGCCAGAGATGTGAGGCCCCCCAGCTGAGGCACCCTGAGCCACCCCACAGCTCCTCCGACTTCCTAATAAAATTTCTGCTTTAGTCTTGAAATTTCTGCAGAGGCAATGGGACAGATGAGGAGCCAGCTGATGTTCTGAATACCTTAAGTCTTTCCTGCATCCCTCAGCTGGATCAGTCCTTCATGACCCCTGCCACCAGAAAGCATATGCACTGGACCCAGTGGACACAGCCCAGGGTGTCTGTCTGTCTGTTCTGCCATCAGAGAACTGGGTGGTAGTCTCCAGGGACTCTCCCAGCTTTAGAACCCGGGGAGCCCCAGAGTGGGGAACCCCAAAGGAGAGGCGCTATCTCCAAGATCAGTGGAGTCGAGGTGGAGGCCCCGGAGGAGGGGCTCTAGCATTACACCATCCCCTCAGTTACCATATCCCATACCCCCAGTCCTGGGTTTCAGCTTCCCATGAACATGTTACAGACCCATGTTCCATGTAAGGAAAGTGAGGCTCTGAGAGGTTGCCATGGTTCAGCCTGGCTCCATCCGGTGGACACCTACTTTGAAGCCACCCACCCCTGTGGCATACTGAGGACTGAGCGGTCCCTCTCCCAGGCCAGGGGGTTCTCAGACAAGGGTTGTTCTTGGGGAAGGTAGCAGACAAAAAGGCAACTCAGATTTGCCAGGCCTGTCTCAGTCCTTCCTACCACAAGGGATGGCCTTAAGGGACAGAAACTCATTTTCTTACAAGTTAGGAGCCCTGTGCTAAAAAGAAGTCTCCCTCAGTGGCGTCTGGGGGAATGCCCTTGTCTTGCGTTCTGTAGCCCCGTGTACCTCGATGGTTTAGTGATTCCCGCATGATACCTGTCTTCCCCCAGCTCTGCATGTTTTGATGGCTTACCTTTTCTATTTCTCAAAAGCCATGGGCTTAAGACACACTCCACACTGATATGATCTCATTCACCTAACAAAGAATGATCAAATGGGATATTGTCCACAGGTGTAGTGGGTAGGATTCCTGTACACATTTTGGGAAGTACAATTCAATCCTTAGCCATGTCCCACATGGCATATGGCCCTGCTACTTCTGAAAAGCTCCTGTTCAAAGATGTGTATCCCAACCCTGAGCCAAGCATGCTGGGGGAGAACATGGGCAGAGGGACATGTTTTTATTTTTACTTCAAGAACCAGATTCACCCAGACCCAGACAGATAAGTGAGCCACAGGAAGGTCAGCGTCCACATCCTGGCCTGTGTCTGAGACCCAAGCAAGAGGAACAGCGCTTTCATCTTCAAACAAAGACAATGAGACTCTGAAAGGGTAAGATACGCGGCCGGAAAGGGACCAATTAAAACAAGAAATTCTTCAGCATTGTCCACACTGGAGTTGGTGTTTTTATTTTTACTTTGAGAAACAAATACATTTAAGGTCTAAGAGTATTCGCTATCTGTGGAGCCCAAGGAAGGAGGAAGACAGGGCAGCCTGTTGTCAACACTGCAGCAGGACAGAAGAATGGGGGTGAGCTGCGATGTCTGCCACCCTCCCTGAGCCCCAGCACTGGACCCCACTAGCCCTCAACACACTTCCCATGTCCCCTTCAGGGAAGCCCCCAGAGCCTTGGTGTCTGAGGTGCAATGCTACAATCACAGCCCAGACAGGTTTGGGAGTCAGGATACCGCCATTCTGCTGAGGACACATGTAAGCAAAATGAACTCTGGCTTCTGCTGTCCCCCCAAGCCAGGAGAGGCAGTTGTCAGGAGTGACCCAGTCTGCGTCCTTCCTGGCCTGCACGGTCCTCCTGGGGTTCCTGATGTGAGGATTTGGCCCAGGACCAGGTAGGTCCTGCTCCACCTCGTGGGGTGACCAGAATCTCTGGGGCTGGAGCAGGTCCTTGTAGGGAGATTAGAGCACATGGGGTAGGGTGGACTAGACGAGGCCCCAGATCAGCTTTAGGGCCTCAGATCTTCCAAACACCTCCCAGGACTTGGCTGCGCCTACACACACCCAGAGGGCTCAGACATTGGCTGCATGCCTGCTGGGCCTCTGACCCTAGAAGCCCACTCTGACGCCACACGGACACCAATCCCACTGGGCGTCCAGAGCAGGCCTGGGGTTGTGGGTGCCTCAGGGAATCCCAAGTCCCTCATTTGGAGACTCAGACCAGCCAGCGGTAGTGGTGGACTGGGAACCACAGATGGGGGCTGGGGTGGCCTCAGGGAGTGAACTTTGTTGCACGGGGGTGGGGGAGGAGAATGTGCATCCTATGGGGGTACACTCTAACACATGGGGTCCCCACCCTCAGAAGCAAGGTTGGTGAGCTCTCACATACATTTCCCCTCACAGGCAGAGGGTGCACAGCTGGGGGAGTGAGGGTCCAGCACCCAGAAGCACCAGGAGCTCTTCATGGAGGGAGCGAACCAGCTCTGGGTCCCCATCACATTATCCCTTTGCCCACAGAGCCTGGGCTACAGAGCCACCTGCTCCGTAAACCACAGTACAACAGACTCCACCAAGGGGGGGGGTGACAGCAAGCACGTGACAGGGCTCCAGTGCAACTCATCCCCTCTGAACTGCACCCCATAGAGAGCCGGAACGTCCCAGCCTGCCCACACACACATGCTATCACACACAAGCACACTCATACATAGATGCACACACATACACTCTCACATATGCATACCCATTCACACACATGCATACACTCATGCACATGCTCACATGCACGCCCACACACTTAGTTACACTTGTTGCACACACACAAGTGCACACAGGGGCACACTCTTGCACACACACCTGCACCCACACACTCATGCATGCTCACAGATGCACATGCATGCATGCACATAAGGACACACAAATGCACACTTAGGTACACATGTGCGGCCATACACATGTCCATTCATGCACATAAGTACACTCACAATGCATTCATAAATGCACATGCATACACTTGTGTACATGCATGCACATTAATGTACACACGTGTACACAGGCAGGTAGACACACGAACAAACCTGCTCACATTACACACGCATACACATATCTGCATGCACACTCATGTACACATATATGTGTACACAGGCAAGTAGACACATGGACACACATGCTCACATGTGCACACTCATGGACATACTTATACCCATATGCACACTCATGTACACAGGCTCACACATGTGTGCACAGGCACATAGACTCGTGAGCACACACATGCTCACATGTACACACTCATGCACACACCTATGAGATAAGGGGGAATCCTGTGCCGACCCCGTCTCTATCCATCACACTCACACACAGAGAAACAAGCTCACGGAAACCTCTGGAACCTCTCCCAGACAGACCATGTGGTCTCCCACATGGCAGAAAACAGAGGGCAGGTGCAGCCTGGCCATGCATGGACATGCATGCAGGTGACACCACCAACCCCACGCCTGGGCTGGGTCCATCTCTACAGGGAGTGGTCCTAGAGTAAGGGCCTCACCTCCTCTCCCCCCTCCCCAGAGACAGAGGCAGGGCTCACAGCAGGTAGCTTCTCCCACACTTGAGGCCCTACTCTCAGATTCAGGAGCAAGGGACAGCAGACACCTGGCCATCACAGGTGGGAAGTCACTCTGGGGACACAGGTACTGTTCTGCGATCATGCATGTAACTGACAAGTTGCAAAGTGACTTCATACCTGGCCAGGAGGTGTGGGAGCACAGAACTCAGACCCCAGAGGATCTAAAGGGCCACTGCCCACCTTCCTACCCCCTCAGATTTACCTAAGCCAGTTCTGACAGGTGTATCCACACAAGTGTGTGTCCTCTGGGACAGGTGTGCCCTCTGGGACAAGTGTGTCCTGCAGGACAAATGTGTGTCCTCAGGAACAGGTGTATCCACACCTGCAGGCAAGGCGTGTGCTGTAGGATCGGTGTGTCCTCGGGAACAGGTTTGTGTCCTCGAGAACAGGTGTATCCACACTTGCAGGAGAGGTGTGTGCTGTAGGACCGGTGTGTCCTGCAGGACAGGTGCGTCCATACCTGCAGGACACCAGAATGGCCCCACACACAAGTCCTCTTCTCAGGTGCCCATGACAGATTTGCTCACAACCAGGTCTCTCCAACACCTGTCTTGAAGTCAATGCCCGCCTCAGCCACCACTGTCTTTTTCCAGGGTGGACATCGGGATCTCCAGGCCAGCAGGGAGGGACATGCAAAGCTGCAAGGCTGGGGGGCTGGGAGGGGTCGGGGCGCTAGATGACGGCGCTCTTGTCCTCCTGGCAGGCGCGGGAGCCCGGCCGAGCCAGCAGCAACTCCTTCTCGTGGACCAGGCTGTCCAGCAAGTCCTCCTGGCGGTAGTTGTAGTAGACTCTCAGGAAGGCCATCACGGTGATGGCCAGCCAAGCCAGCCACGAAGCCCAGAGGCCAAACTAGACGGGACAGATGCTCAGAGGTAGGACATGCCCAGGGGAAGAGCAAGGCTGCTGAACCCTGGAAGCCACGCCTAGAAGCCAAGCTCCACCCTGGAGGCCCCGCCCCCGCAG